TAAGTAAAGAATAAAGCCACTTTTAAGTGTCTCAATGTTTGGCAACAAATATCAGGGTTGTGGTGGAGTGGTAAGTACTCCTACATCCTTAACCAGAGGTCTCGAGTTCGAGCCCCTGGGTATGGAGTCGCCTTTGTTAGGGAGCGCTTTACCCCCCAATAGGGGACTTCCCGGCGTGAATCCGAATTAGTCGGGCCCCAATGTGGGTACCGAATACCAGGTGAGAAATCAAAAAAAAAATGTTTGGGAACAAATATATGGGGAATTGACGCATGTAAATATTGGTTAAAGAAGTTTAATTCATTTGATACTTTTTGCTTTTTAAAGTTAATGAGCAGTTGTTAAACGTCAAGTCAATGAGCAGCTGTTAAATTAGATTGGGTTAAATACGTTTAAATTAGATTGCTTTAATATGAGTTTAATTTCTTACTGGTAGTGTCAAAATATTTACACAACAAATTATTATAACGTAATATAAAGTTAAATTTTTATAATATGCATAATTAGTGACCTTTTTTTTTGGTAATTAAATGATTTTATTTACCAATAGCAATATGTACAAAGTTCTGTCTGGAACAGGGCATTCCCAGTTCCATTCCCTCTTCTACATCTCTTCTATCCTCTTTTACGGTAAGTATCTATTTCTGCTATTCTCTTTTCTGTTTTACTATTCATCGATCCTCTAATTGCTACCTCTAGAACAAATTGCCTCACTATCATTTCCATTGTTTTCTTCTGATCTTGGAATATTCTGTTGTTCCTTTCATTCCATATGTGGTACACTGCACATGCCAGAGTCAATCTATAGACTTGAGCTGCTGCATTGTTTCTAGTTGCATTGCTTTCAGCCCATTGTATCTCCCTTTGCCATTCCATCGGAGCTCTATTTATTCCTTGCCAGTGTAGTAGCTTGCTCCATATTTCTCCAATAATTCGACAGTTAAACAATAAATGTTCAATAGTCTCTTCTGCTTCAGTACATAAAGGACAGCTTACTTCATCTGCAATCCCCCATGTGTGTAGTCTGCTTCTTGTAAGTAGCCTGTTTTGTATAGCTAAACTCAGAACAAAGATCCACTTTGGAGCTCCTAGATTGTTGCATGTTAGTCGCCTCCATGATACCTTTTGATATTGCCCTAGCATGCTATTATACCACTTCTTGATAGAGAAGTAGTTCCATTCTATTACTTCCTTCATGCTGATTCCTGCTTCTTCTATGTAGCTCTTTGCTTTGATTATTTTTTGAACCATCCATGATGCATTCCTTGGTTTGCAATCCCATACTTTCTGTTTCTTCCCGTAATATAGGTGGACCCATTGGACCCATAACTTGTCCTTCTTCTTGCACAGATTCCATAGTAATTTGAAAATGCAGCTCTGTTCCATATCTGAATATCCATAACATTGAAAGCACCTGCTGACTTTGGTGAGCACACTTTTTCCCATGATATCAAAGCTCTTTTTGAAGCCTCTGTTCCTCCAGTCCACAAGAATGTTCTACAAATTGTTTCTATCTTCTTCATTATCTTCTTAGGGATAACAAAGATCTGTGACCAATAGATTTGTATGGAAAATAGAACTGTTTTGATCAGTTGCAATCTGCCTGCATAAGATAAGAACTTTGAAGTCCATGAAGTGATCCTGCCTAGTATCTTCTCCAATAGTGGTTGGCATTGTAGCAGAGATATCCTCTTAGTGTTGAGTGGTACTCCAAGATATTTGAATGGCAATTCTCCCCTGCTAAATCCAGTTACCTGCACAATATTTTTCTGTATAATTTGTGGAACCCCTCCAAAATAAATGGAGTTCTTTGCTGTATTTGCTTTTAATCCAGATGCCTTTGAAAATTCCATAAAATAATTGAACACCATTTGAATGGAGATAGTATCACCTCTGCTGAATAATAGCAGGTCATCTGCAAACCCCAGTTGGATGATATTTAACTTGTCACACCTAGGATGGAAGTTGAAATTCGGCTTATACCTCAGTGTTTTAAAGCTTCTTGTAAGATACTCCATACCCAGTACAAATAAAAAAGGTAACAATGGATCACCCTGCCTTAGTCCTCTTCTGGCTTGAAATGGTTCCATTGGTTTTCCATTGATGAGAATGCAATAGGAAACTGTTCTTATGCACACCATAATCCATTTTACAAACTTCTCTGGCATTCCTAGGTGGTTCAGCACTTGTTCTAAGAAATTCCATTCTACAGAATCATATGCCTTTTGCAGGTCCAATTTTATCATACATCTAGGAGAGATGCCCTTCCTCCAATACCCTTTTACCAACTCATGACTTAGGATTATGTTATCTGTTATAACTCTCGAGGGATAAAACCATACTGACTCTTGTCAACTAGGTGATCCATCACTCCTTGCAATCTGCTGGTCAATATTTTTGAGATGATCTTGTATAATACTGTGCAGCCTGAAATAGTGACCTTATAAAAATAATAGCTAACTTTTTAATATAACATAAATTTTTTACACAATATCGATAGACATAAAATTAAATCTTTTAATATGTAAAGATTTAGAATTTTTACGTACTTTTTTTTGGAATCAGTATTTGGGCATAAAATTTTCAAATTTCACTTCATATCAATAATATTTTGATTGAGCAACTGGCCGATTGCTTCATGTATTATTACTTAGTGTCTAGTCTTTAGGGGGTGCTCCAAAATATATTATCAATAATATTTAAATAATAATAATTACTATATTTAAACAAGTACACCTTTATAAGAGTACTTCATATCGAAACTGGACACGAACTTGTTGCTTTTTCTAACTTTGTGTGGAATTTATAGCTTTTGTAAATAACGAAAAATTTAATAAAATAAATTTTAGTTAATTTAAGGCATCAAATTTTAGGAAAAGTAATATAACGAAGTTATAATTATGATATATAGTTGGAATAAGGAAAATATTCAAATAAGGTAAAATCTTGATTTATTTTAAAGTCCTAAATTTTAGAACTTCCTACATATTTCAAATAAGAAAAATTCAATAATCAGATTTTAAAGTCCTAAATATTAAAAAAAAATAATTAAATTATAAGATTGTCCAATATGAAATAGCATCATAATTGTTAAACATTAATGTTTTTTCCTATTACTAAATTGATAATAAACATATTACTACAGTTAAGTAGAGGGTTGTATTTGATTTTGTCCTTGAGATTGTGAATATATTAATGTTAAGATTATGAAATTTTCTTGGTAAAAAGTAAGTGTTTCCCTATGAAATCTCGTCTATGAGTGAGATAATAGTTTTTGATGATAATTCAAACTTTGCATATTTATATTGTATTAAATTGTCCATGCTCTGTAATTATTATATAAGCTAAAATCATAATGGAAAATACAGTCACTAAGATATTAGGATTTCTCACATTGTTTAAATAAGGAAAGATTTAATTAGTAAAATTTTAGTTGAATTAAAATTCCTAAATATTAGGAAGATAATTAAATGACTATTTTGTCTAGTGTGAACTCTATTTTTAAAGGGGCAAAAAAGACGAACGACATTTCGCTAAGTGCCTTCGTGCTTTTAATATATATATATATATATATATATATATATATATACTAGTCTCTATGCACGTGCCTCGCACGTAATTTTCTAGCACTAAAAAAATAAAAACGTGAAAAAAAGTTACACAAGAGAGTAAATATAAAAAGTATATAACAATAACATGTCTAATAATTAACAGGAGATATGTGAATATACTTGTTGCAATAAAGCATTTATTTCATCCAATTTATGATATTAAAGATACGACTTTTTGTTAGCTAATTCATTTTTATCGTGTGTGTGTGTCAATAGATTGAAGTTTATCTATATGTATTAGCATTCATACTCTTCTAATTATAAAGTATAAGAAACGTGTAATTTAATAGGATGTATTAAAAAAAAATATATGTGTAAAAAAACCTTAATCTGTAAACATATCTAAAATGAAAAATTATGTACGCTAATTAAAAGTCAAAATCATAGAAAATTTTATAAAGAACAAAGCAAATCAAATGAATTATCACAAACTTAAGCTATTAAATCTTTATGAAACCAAAATACCACTATATTTATGCACAATAGATATTTCAAGAAAACTTCTATCTTAACATAAATCACAAACTGAATCAACTAACAAAATGATCTGAAATTTAGAAAAGATGATGAAAAAATATGACTTGATATTAGACTTGTAGAATTACAATGGTAATTGGATCAAGATAAAAATCGATCAATGTTTTAGAAATATTATAATCGTTGAATATTTAGCAGAAGTATTCGTACTTAATTTATACAAAAATAAAATCTGCACCATTTAGAGAGTTAGAATCCATTATAAAAATCCTGGTTGACTTCAAATTCATTACTAGCAGCCGAAATCCTAAATATTCAATTTTATCCATTATGGTTTAACACTTTGGATAAAATAACTGATTTTGAATAGCCAAAAAAATTGTCTGATGTTTGCATTCTCTTTTCATTTATCTTCATGTTTAGAATGGACAAACAATTGGATTCTTTAGCAAGCAGGATTTTTATAAATGTGATAAGTCTCCTTAACTTTTATCTTAAACTTTGAGTTAAAGTCTTTCTACGCCTTTTTAATCCAAGTAAGATTGACTTTGTAGGGTCTGGTTTAAATCGAAAAAGAATTCTATCATTAGTTAATTTACAATTAGATTCTTAAATTATATAAATATTTAAGGGCATAAAAGTCCATCAATATTTTAGTCGTTCAATATTTATTCGTAGCTCAGGTTTCGACCTGTCAGCTTCGTGTCTTTTTTTGTAAAGTTCGAGGGTAATTTAGTCATTTCGCATCTCCTATCAAAGTTTGTCTAGAAAAACTCTACGTGTAACTTTCATATGACTTCAGTTGTAATTTAAAACACTAACATATGAGATTTTCCATTAATGTGTTGTCTCTAATTACACGTCTTCTCCCTGATTGTCTTCTAGCTCTCAAGTCTAGCTGCAGGTACATATTTTTTTCTCCTTTTATCTTCATTCTTTTTTCCCTCTGGGTGGGTTCTCCTGAAATTTAATGGTTTTGTCACATCTTCTTCTCCTTTTTCTTCCCTTTGTTTTCTTTTCGCTAATTCTGAAGCTCAGTCGCTATTGTAGGTTCTCTTCCCCTTTTTCTTCTCTGCTTTTTTTAAGATCCCTTTTCCCTTCTTTTCTTTTGTTGGTTTCTCTTCGTGAATTTTAATTTTGCAATTCACTGGTGGGTTACATGGAGTGGTAATACTGTATTTTTTAAGCTTAGCCTTGCGAGTTTTGTTGATTTTGCAATTTCAACAAAATAAGTGCGGTAGTTATGTAAGACAAACATAATACTTTGTGATGATCATTAGGGATGTAAATAGGGCGGGGCGGGGCGAGCCTTACACCCGCTAAAATTTTGACTCGCCCTACCCTGCCCCATTCCCTGCCCCATTTAGCCTTTTGTCAAAATTTTGCCTTGCCCCGCCCTGCCCCGTTTAGACTCTTTTTTTTATTTTTTTCTCTTTATTTTTTATTTTGCAGTATGCTTTTAATTTCTTTTACCTTTTCAACTTTCTATTGAAACATTTAAAATATTGTTTAGTTGTTTATGCATATTGATTGAATAAATTTTTTATCAATGTTGTATAATGTATCAAAAATGGGCCACTGGACTTGTCCAATTTAAGATCGACAATTATATGGATTGAGAACTCATTTGATAACTCAACCAAATAAATTTGAATTCTGATCAAACAAATCTACACGTATGTGTTGTAGTTCTTGTGAAAAATGAGAAACCTACAAGAGGTCATTTGGTTAATGGGTTGTTGTCCTCTAATACACTGCTTATTTCCCTATCCCTGCCCTGCCCCATTAACTATTTTTAGAAAATGTGTTTTGACCTGCCCCGTCCTGCCCTGCCTCATTAAGACTTTGCCCTGCCCTGCCCCATTTGCCATCCCTAATTATTAATTGATTATTTCAAACTTTTGTTAACCGACTCTATCAGTTGAGTACTTATATCTAAGATGGAAACTATTTTTTCCTTCGCATAGGCACTTGACCTGATACTGGCGCGTATTGACTCTTTATATGGATTTTTTTCAACGAGTGCCTAAGCAATAATGAAGATAAAAAAAATCATTGCAAGTAATTTTCTTATAGCTTTATCTTTAGAGCAATGTTACCAAATCTTAGGCGAATTTTATATCTATTTAGTATATTCAATCAAGAATCAATCTTCTTTTTGCTTATTTTGCTTAACTTTGTCTTACTTTGCAGGTGGTATTTCATATGATGACGTCCAGACTATAGCGGAGATATATTGTCTATGTGAAAGGTAAGCAAATGCTGTTTAACACTTAGTAAGCTAAAATATAATCTTATTGTTAACAGAACTAATTAGATACTCTTAATTTTTCTACTGAGGCTGCCTCGATTGACATTTTCATTCTATGGAAAAATTTATGATGGGAAATTAGATATATGATGTTTCTTATGTATCAGAAAAGAACTTTATTACAGTTGACTATGCTTAAGGTAATGAGAAAATTTATGTTAACAGGAATCTAAGTTCGCACATGAAATCTAAGTTCCTCTTTCATACTCTAGACTTAGAGCCGAAATTTAATCATCAAACGTAAAAAATTTAATAAAAAAGGACCATACAATTCTCAAATAGCAGTTGTCTTAATGATTTGGAGATTGGTGCTTTTAATTGGTTGTTCTCGAAGTGCTTTTTTCATGGCAGGAGGAGATGGATATAGTGAGAGTTTCAATTTCAAAATAATATTATAAGATTGGTAGGGAGAATAAAAATAAATGGGAACTTACAGTTTTTGTAAGTTCTTGAATAGGGTCAAATCAAATATTTGACTTGTAAGTTCGTTGTTTCCCAGCCACCTTTGAATTGAGTAACTTTGAATTAATAAAATATTCCATTGATAGAGAATATTAATCTTGGAATTAAATTAGAAGATTACCATCACATATGTGGTGTAGATTACTTTAACCCCCACATATTAATCTTAGAAGTTTTATACTTTTGTATGCAGAGATGTTACTATTTGGATATAGGGTCGTTATAAGAATGATGCGGTTGCGTCTTTTTGAGTTTAATATGCTATAGAATCTTTTTAGATTGTCTTAGATATCAACCGAGGAGGTAGGTGGTTATGTAGGGTGATTAAATTGCTAACAACGAATGATATATAGAACATAAAAAGTATATTAATTGAGATCTGATTTGGTTTTTGGACATATTGGCCTAATGGTGTGGCAAAATAGAGAAATTAATATGAATGCACTGATAAGAATTCAGAAGCTCATATTAATCAGAATGAACTTAGGAGCTCAGAAAACAGTAGAACAAAAGGTAAAGGGAGTGCGTTGCATATCTCCCTCAAATACACATTGTAACGATTTAAATAATGCCCCCCAGTAGCATGTTTGTGGTTCTTCTTTACTTCCTGTTGTTGGTTTATTTTTGGAGAGAAACAGAAAATGCATTCAAGGTAGTAGAATATTAGTTTGATCTTTCCTTGATTTTTTCCCATACTTTGGTGCAAGAGAATGTAACTACTATGGATCAAATGCTAGATTCTGTTAGCTTTATCAATAGCTATAACCATAGTGTGTTTTTGCTTTTGCACCACACTGAAGATTTTGGTTGAAGAATAGCGTTGAATTCTACTGGTCTACGCCGGAATAGAGGGTAGAACTATTAACACATTCTATGATGATACGTAAGTATGAGATAATGGGAGTAAGAATTAGTAGCTTGTTTTATGATGATGTTGTTCATGTATAGAATATACAAAGCAGACAAAACTTCAGTAAATACTATTGGATTGATTTTTTTATTTTAACTTGGTACTACAAAACTAAACTCTTTGTATAACTAAATTTGGAAAGGATAGAATGAGCTGGCTGGATCTTTTATGCTTTTTCCTGCATGAGACTACACCTCCAATTAACACATGGAGCTATTTGACCAATGAGGAAGATTTGTCGTAGTATTAATACAGAAAGAGGGAAAAAGAACAAAAGAAATAGCATTTGGGCAATACTAAACATGTCATGAACTGGATAAATCGTACTATTGCAACTGGGAAAAATCCACAGGTAATATATCTTTGTGGCTTTTTTTTGTTGTTCACTTCATGGCCGCCGCATTATACATAGTTTTGCTTAGATATTCTCTGTATTGCAGCAAGCTATAAAATTGGTTTTTGTTTGCTTGATAAACATATTTTGTGCATTAGCATATGTGATCTTTCTGCATCACATATCCCTTGTATGTGTTGTAAGATCATGTAAAATTATTCTATCACAAAATGTTCCCTTTTTATGATTGTATGTGTTACTTGACAACTTATCTACATACTTCTTCCAGATACATATATTATATACCTTTAGCTATTGATATTCTCTTGTTGCTTGTAGGATGCTCCTGTATCGACCTGCATCTCATAGTTAGCACGTGACAATAGAAGCTGAGGACCGTAGCTGGCAGCAATTACGAATACATAATCTTTCAACAGTTTTGGGAGTTTCTCTCACATTTGCTTTAATCCCTTAAGAGGAACCATACACCATCCATGAGTCTATATTTTGTTCCAAAATATATGTAAATAGTATCCAGCATCTGATTTAATAACAACTTACATGCGTCAACTTTTGTTACACGCAATTTCACACCAAAACAAAGTTTATATAATAATAGTTTAAATTATTATAATATTGGGCCCGTGCCTAGCCTTACCTAGTCTATATAGTAGAAGCGCTTTGGTTTCGACGTGTCTGTTCTTTGACATTTAGTTCAAATCTGAGGGTATTTTGGACTTTTAATGACACTGAAAGTTTTTGAAAATGTTAAGAAAGCTTTAGGAGACAAAAAGAAAAAACTTATAGCAAGCGTAGAAGTTTAAGCCAACAAATTATTTTATAACTATTACAAAATGTCGTTTTCATTCATTAATAAGATATTGATTGGTATAAAAATGATAAATACGCTAATAAAAGAATAAATGTAGATCTCAATTCAAATTGTTAACTGTTGGGGCTTAAGTTGATGCTGTTGGGTCCGTGCTGGGCACGGGTATGGGATATCTAGTATTCAAAGGTCTAACAGTTTTGTTTTGTAAAAATTTTGTGGGTAGCCACTTTTTAAAGTGGTATTTATTTTTTATCCAACATTTTCAATGCTTAACAATACTAGTCACTAGTCTATTAAAATTAATATGAAAAGACTGTGTTACCCTTTCTTCTATCTCTTTCATGTTATGGAAAAGACTGTGCCACCTGAGACGGCGACTGCCGTGGAAGACATAAGTAGGCACCCAGAACCGTTTATGCTTTTCCCAGAGCTAATTTGGGAAAATACAGCCTAATGGCCGGTCGGCCATCTAGTTTAGCCCTTTTGCAATTTCAAACTGCGTTTGAATCTTTTGACTTTGTTTCTTCAGATTTATTGTTCTCCTTTCTGAAAATTTTCAATTGTACTTAGCTTACAAAATTAATTTTAATTTTTCTAGAATCTAACTAACTTGCAAATCCTTGTCTCTATTCTTTTTATTATTTGGTCCTGAACTTCAAGTTCCAAATTTAAAAGTTAAGGACACTTGGTCCTGAACTTAGAATTACAAGTTCAAAAGTTAAGGACACTTGGTCCTGAACTTAGACTAACAAGCTCAAAAGTTAAGGACAATAGGTTCTGAAGTCCTGAACTTAGACTAACAAGCGCAAAAGTTAAGGACAATAGGTCCTGAACTTAGACTAACAAGCTCAAAAGTTAAGGACAATAGGTCCTGAACTTAGCGTTACAAGTTCAAAAGTTAAGGACACTTGGTCCTGAACTTAGACTAACAAGCTCAAAAGTCAAGGACAATAGGTCCTGAACTTAGACTTACAAGTTCAAAAGTTAAGGACAAGTAGTCCTTAACATAGGGTTACAAGTACAGAACTTAAGGACAGGTGGTCCTGAACTTCGAGTTCCAAGTTCAAAAGTTAAGCACATGTAGTCCTGAAGTCCTGAACTTCGAGTTGCAAGTTCAAAAGTTAAGGACATGTAGTCCTGAACTTAGAGTTGCAAGTTCAAAAGTTAAGGACACTTGGTCCTGAACTTTTATGAGCAGAAGGGTGTTTTCGTCCAGGCAGGTAAAGTTTATTAAAGCAGTGGCTAAAGACTAAATACATTTTAAGCAGTGGCTTAAAAGTAAATACATTTGTTATTAGTGGCTAACCGTGGTTTCAGTAAAAATTGTGTGGGGTAGCCACTTTTTAAAGTGGTATTTACTTTTTATCCAACATTTCCAATGCTTAGAAATAGTAGCCACTGGTCTATGAAAATTAATATGAAAAGACTATGTTACCCTTTCTTCTATCTCTTTCATGTCAGGGAGAAGCGGCACCGTTTCTTCAGATAGAATGTAATGCATATTACACTATGAAGTATTCACCAGCAACGAATCTCACAAAAATCTTTCAAGCAGTCAAATCATTACAGCTTGCCACCCAAATGTAAAACGCATAGTATATGATAGAAATTCAGAAAAGTACAGTTCCTAAGGTGTACTCCATGTCTGGGCAAAAAAATGCACTCAAACTGGTCATGCAAACTTCTCTGCAAATTTTTCTACATATGTATATTTTACTTGAAATACACAATTTTATTAGCTATTGCAAAAACTTATTATTTCTCTTATGAAATGTTTATTATTCGTTGATGGACTTAAAGCTTATGCTATAGAACGTTTGGTTTTCTGCTACGTTATGGATCCTGAACTTACAGTTACAAGTTCCAAAGTTAAGGACACTTGGTCCTGAACTTTGAGTTCCAAGTTCAAAAGTTAAGGACACTTGGTCCTGAACTTAGAATTACAAGTTCAAAAGTTAAGGACACTTGGTCCTGAACTTAGACTAACAAGCTCAAAAGTTAAGGACACTTGGTCCTGAACTTATAATTACAAGTTCAAAAGTTAATGACACTTGGTCCTGACCTTAGACTAACAAGCTCAAAAGTTAAGGACAATAGGTCCTGAACTTACAGTTACAAGTTCAAAAGTTAAAGACAATAGGTCCTGAAGTCTTGAACTTAGACTAACAAGCGCAAAAGTTAAGGAAAATAGGTCCTGAACTTAGACTAACAAGCTCAAAAGTTAAGGACAATAGGTCCTAAACTTAGACTAACAAGTTCAAAAGTTAAGGACACTTGGTCCTGAACTTACAGTTACAAGTTCAAATGTTAAGGACACTTGGTCCTGAACTTAGACTAACAAGCTCAAAAGTCAAGGACAATAGGTCCTGAACTTAGACTTACAAGTTCAAAAGTTAAGGACAAGTAGTTCTTAACTTAGAGTTACAAGCACAGAACTTAAGGACAAGTGGTCCTGAACTTCAAGTTCCAAGTTCAAAAAGTTAAGGACATGTAGTCCTGAAGTCCTGAACTTCGAGTTGCAAGTTCAAAAGTTAAGGACATGTAGTCCTGAAGTCCTGAACTTAGAGTTACAAGTTCAAAAGTTAAGGACACTTGGTCCTGAACTTTTATGAGCAGAAGGGTGTTTTCATCCGGGCAGGTAAAGTTTATTAAAGCAGTGGCTAAAGACTAAATACATTTTAAACAGTGGCTTAAAAGTAAATACATCTGTTATTAGTGGCTAATCGTGCACTTCCCCCCCCCCCCCTTTTGAGTTAATTAATTTAGACCATAGTATAACGTTTTCTCATAAAATTTTCAGTTTACTCAAAAACTATTTAGATCGTGGATTAAAAGCTTTACCTTTTGTAAGAAAAATAATCGAAGAATCATTTACTAGACGGTAAAAAGTGATAATCAATGAAAATTTCACGCCTTAGCCCATGTTTAGTGTTTTGGATCTTTATTTGTTTTTAGAATGACTAGTATCTATGAACGTGTAATGCACGTTAATAATGGCACGTGATGATTTATACGTTTATTTATATGAAGGAACAATAAAATTTAATTAATAACAAAATTTTTATGTATAATAATACAACAATCATCTAAATGCCGAAAAATATTATTACATTAGTATAATACATGAATTTAAAATAAAAAGACATCATTAAAACTTACACAAATTGTCACGACCCAAAATCCACAAAGGGTCGTGATGGTGCCGGACACTGCTCTCAGGCAAGCCAACCAAGTTACTTAATCAAATTCTCGTTTTAATACTTCTGAATTTATGATTTTCCTTCAAGTTTAACAATATTAAAGAATATAGTCTCAAATCAAATTTAAATGATAAGCAGTTAATACAATATACTTCAAACCATCCCAGAACCCGGTGTCACAAGTACATGAGCATCTACTGATAAGGAAATAAAATACAACATCCGTCCGGAATACAATGGACAGGAAATAAATACAATATACTGAAAAGGACTATACTAGCTGCGGGCCACCTCGAATAGTGCAACTCACCTAGCCCCCAACTCATTCGTGCTGCCACGCCCAGTGGGCTGCTAGAAATAAATATACCTGTGCAACAAAAATGCACAGAAGTGTAGTATGAGTACGTAAACAACGTGTACTCAATGAGTATCCCGCCTAATCTCGAAGAAGTAGAGACGAGATGGTCAACTTCGACACTTACTAGAGGTCAATTAACAATATACTAAAAAGGTGAGGAAATCATGGATTTATATAGCAGTTCTAATTTACAAAGCCAGAAAACCGGTAAACACCTTTAACAAATAATAGAGGATTTTCAAGATTTACTTTTCATTATCTTATCAATTTATATCAAGCCATGAAAGGCAACATCAACATTTAAAATTCTCAGGCAACAATATATACATCATGAGCAAGTCACGCCGAGGTCGACGGCCCGCTCCAACGGAAAGGTAAACTGTGCACTGCCGAGGGTCGAACGGCGCGAACTATTGATGCATCTATTTAATCTGCCGAGGCGTTCGGCCCGTTCCATAAATAAACACATACCCTGCTCGCGAATCATGCATGCGACGCAGGTACACATAGGGATACATGCTCAATCAGTCAATTAAGAACTTATCGGGGAATATTTATCCAAATAAAACCAATTCTCCTTTAATAAATTTTAAGAAATAAAGTTTAATCCTTTTAGAAATTCACTTACTAATTCAAAGTGATTTAAGCAATTCAAGCTATCAATGGGTTCATAAACAATCTAAGTATAACATGCTTTTGGGTCCTAACTACCCGGGTAATAGCATAATAGTAGCTACGCACGGACTCTTGTCACCTCGTGCGTACGTAGCCCCCGCAAATAGGAGCACATAATCAATTATTTCACCTATGGGGGAAAATTCCCTCTTACAAGGTTAGAAAGGAGACTCACCTCGCTCCGAAGATCCATAACCGGCATTCCACGCCCTTCCGAAGACTCTAATTGATGCACCACGCTCCAAAACTAGCCAACGGTTACGCAAATCCATTAATATGTTCAAATATTCATTACAATCTAATTTATAGCAATTCCTAACTCCGATCGAAAAGTTGCCCAAAACGCCCTCTGGCCCACGTGCCCGGAATCCGAAATTTTTCGAAGATAAGGATTACCCATGACCATAGGAACTCAAATATATAATTTTCACTAGTTTCCATGCTCAATATCGTAGTTAAATTGCAAGAATATAATTTCTAGGTTTTTCCCTCAAAACCCCAAGTT